TATTCAATTGAACATCTTTTAAGCAATCCAAACTCTTTCAGAGATACTTGCAAACTTTCATTAGGTCCATTCTTTATTCTGTAAGCCTTGGCATCCACTTTATAACGGGCATACCTTATGGGAAGCCTAAGGGAAGCATGTTTTCTTATGTTCTTGTTACCCAGTTTCCGTTGGTAATGTTTCAATGTTGATGAAAAGAGAAAAGCACAGAGTGCAGCAATGAGCACCAGGAAGCTATGGAGAAATATCTAAACAGGAGCAGGAGTGCTCATACCCACAGAGCCCGCCAGTGCTCAGAGCCTTACCCCAAGCCTAACATACAATCAGGAGAACATAATGAGAAGAAAACAGAGCAATTAGCAAAGTCCAACTGTGCACACCAGTCAAATATGTGTGAATTTCGTAGTGGATCATTGTCTCAAAAACAAACAAGCCAACAGAAAAAGACAAACAAAGGCAGGATATATCTCAAAGGTTAGCGCCCTTGCGTAGCAGGCACACATGGATTCGATCTCCAGCAGTGGAAAAAAAAATACCATGAGATTTCAGCAAAAAAAAAAAAGCTTCCTCTGACCGGATATTAATTAGTCTGATAGCTCCAGAATGTGATTGAAGGATCTTAACAAGTACAGGTGAAATCATAAAACAAACAAACAAAAAACAGCAAATCAATGCTTTCACCACTGTTTTCCCAGGGGGTGTGGCCTTAACTGTATATTAGTCTTGCTCTTCAACTTTTACCTGACTATAGTTATTAAAATAGGCTCAGTCAGACAGTTGATTATTGGGCTTTTTTGTTTGTTTGTTTGTTTTGAGCAATCAACCACACTTCCTTTTCAGAGTCCTCTTAACCACATCAGGACCTTTGGAACATGACTTCTAGGTATGGGATGTGTGGGACCAAGGTGTTCTATTGCCTAACAGGTCTCCTTCCGTGTGTTTGTGTGTTTGGTTTAGTGGTGTGAGAGCTTGCAGGAGAGGAATAAAAAGACGAGTCTTAGTTCTGGGAACACACTTCAGTGACAGAGTACTCACACAGCTTGTTTAAGGCACTAGGCTCAATCTCCACCACTCAGAAACACAAAATAAAATACACCTCTTCATCTAAATATCTAGGGTGACCCCCATGTAATTACTCCCACGTAATTCATCACTATTAAGATTCAAGTTAGATCCTATATATTCCAATGACAAGGGCTGGCACCAGAGCAGCTCTCTTAGCTCCGTCACTGCCATCTCTGGAGACTGGGCAGTCTCTTACTTGTAACTTTCACATCCACATTACTATACTATGTAGGCCTTTTTGGCCTGCGTTGTAACTCTGTATCTCAAACTTCTGTTTCCTCAACTTCAACTTTGGACCCTGCCAGCAGGGAGGGACTTCTTTTTCTTATCGTTTCAGAGTTGGAAACCTTGTTAGAAAAACAATACTGACCCTTCAGTTTTCTTTCTGTCACACAGAGAAACCTTGCCTTGAAAAACCAAAAAAAAAGAAGTAAAGATAAAAAAGAAAGAAAAATGAAAAAAAATCTGTTACTTTATTGTAACCAGTCTCCTATATAAAATTTGATTTGAAAGTATATACACATGTAAGTTTTTGCTCAAGAAAATTAGGTGGCTGCAAACAAAAGACTTATCCAGGATGGATCAAAAGGGCAATGTTCAATCATACACCCTCTGAAAGAAATAAAAATCCACTTGATAAACATCATATTCAATGGTTATGCCACATGATTTATCTACTTGCACGAATTCTTTCAATGTTATTCATTAATTTTTTTTTCTACTTTACACTGTAGCCTTCAGAACAATATCATCAAAAACAATTACCATTCTTTCAGCAAATATTCACCTACTTTACTTAAAAAAAATAGTGAATCACTAAGTATGCCAAATGGATTTTACAATATAACTAAGGAAAGCATCATAAACCAATACTCTTAAAACATTGTAAAAACAACTTAATGGTAGTAAAAAATAAGGAGGCAATTTTATCGGCAATTTGGTAGGCTCTGTAAATTCTTATTATGTGTAACCATATTCTGTTAACAATACTATTTCACTATGGGCACATGAAACATAGCCAAGAAATTGACTTGGAGGTATACATCATTACTTTAGCAAACTGACTCTGAACCCAGATTCGTCTGATATCCCAGCTCATGCTTCTATTCCACATCCTTTTAGTCAGTATCATTAACATGGCAGTCTGTATGACGTTAAATCAAGCAAAATTTGGCCTAAAGATGGCTCTATACTAGACCAATTACACAAGAAACTGCAAGAAAACTTGAGGGAAAAAGTTAAATGAAAGCCTAACGCTGGAGTGTACTTTCCTCACAAATAGCAGCATCTCAACTGTGCACAGCATTCCGCCTTCAGTCGGTAGCTGGGGAGGAAGTGTTCTAAACCTGTGTCTCATTTGTGCTTTGTTACTGTGGCAAAACATCATGACTCAAAGCATCTCGTGGAAGTAATTGGTTTATTTGACTCACAGGTTATCACCCACCATCGAGCTAAGCCAAGGCAAGAACTGAAGGTGAGACCATGGAGGAGTGCTGTTTATTGACTTGCTTTCCTTGATTTTCTCATCCGTTTTCTTATATAACCTAGGACTGCCTGCCCAGGGGTAACACTGCTCACAACTGGCTGTTAGCCCTTGAACACCAAGCATTAAACAAGAAAAGGACCACAGGTTTGCCTACAGTCCAGTTTGATGGAGGCAATTCTTAAATCGAGGGCCTCTCTTTCCAGGTGACTCTAGTTTGTATCAACTTGACCAAAAATTCACCAGGATACTAGGCTTAAAAAGCAAAACAAAACAAGCCCTAAGCTATAATCAATCAAGCTGTGTCTCTACCTCAGCTCTGTTTTCTGTACAGTTCCATTTTCTGTCCAAAACATGGGGCATGGCATGTTGAGGAACAGCATCTTTGAACCTGCTCTGGCTCTGGGCTTTCTGGTTTGGGAATCATTCATTGTTCAAATTGATCAGTTTGTCTAAACTTTTTTTCTTTTGAGATAAGGGTTCTCTGTAACTTTAGAGCTTGTCCTAGAACTTGCTTTGTAGACCAGGGTGGCCTCAAACTCATGGAGATCCACCTGCCTCTGCCTCCCGAGTGCCGACATTAAAGGCATGCACCATCACTGCCTGGCAAAACTTTTGTTTGTTTGTTTGTTTTTAAAAACGAAGTGTGAGAGAGAGAGAGAGAGAGAGAGTTCAGAAATCGCTAGCATTGCTTCAAAAAGCAATTACTTGCTATGACTTTGCAATTTGAGATTTTGGAGCTATGTGCTAACATCTCCAAAGTCATAATTTTATAAGTGATATATAGCTGCCAATCCTTAACACACCAAGCATTCACACTTTACTTCTCCAGTAGTTCACATCATTTATCAGGGGAGGAGACAGTACAGACATTTGAGGCCCAAACTAGAAGCAACTTCTTGCTCTCATAATGAACAGTTATTAAATTGTAAATAACAATGCTATGTTTCTAAATATCTATCGTCTAGCTGTGATCTTTTTTTCACCCCTGGGCCTGTCTTGACTGCAGAGTGAGACTTTGTCTCAAAACAAGCAAATAAGCAAAAAATAAAAGCAGTGATCTCAATGTGGAAGAAACAGTTGCATTCAGGACAAGTTTCAGTGTGAGTTTAATTGCTTCATCAGCCATCCTTTGCTTACTTATAATATTTTTGAAACATTCCCATCAGAGTAGGAGGTTTGGGGAATAACTTCTAGATATTTTATGTTCTTCAGTTCATTAAATATTTATAGAGTAGTTTGAAAGGTTTGGAGAGGAAAGCAAGAAATTATAATGGCTCTTTTTCTTGAGGACTGTGGACTCAATGACATCGCATATAAAACCAGCACTTGGGAGGCAGAGGGAGGAGGCCGAGGTAGGAAAGAGTGCCCCAAGTTTGAGGCCATCCTGTTTGATATAGTGAGTTCCAGGCCAGCCAGGACTCCATAGTGAGACCCTTTCACAAAAAAAAAAAAAATCCTATAAAACAATGGTTTCTCACTGAAGGAACTATTCCAGGTCAGTTTTAAAGCATTAGCTGTGTTCGGCAAGAGTCCTTCCCTTTTAAAATAAAATATCAAAACAGACTAATGCAGTCTGTTTCAAAACAGCCATTCAAAACCCAGAGAATATATTTTCTGTGTGATACACACAGGTTAACATAAACATACTTTTTTTTTTCATTCTGCAGAATGAAGCATTTCTTTCAAAGCTGGAAAGTGACCAGCCTTGGTAGTGCAGGCCTGTAACCTTAGCTACAAGGGAGGCTGACACAGAAGGATTGAAAATTCAAGTGTCTCTCCAACAACATACACAGGCACTGTTGTCCTCATTTTTTTTAAGTTTACAAAGTGTGTGTAGTGGCAGGGGGTGGAGCAGTCTGGGAAAACAGCTCAGAAGAGAGCTAGCTTGTCCAGCAATTATAAGGCTAGAGGATTTATTCCCCAGCATTCCAAAAAAGAAGTGACCCTTGTAATTTTGAATTTTCTGAAGCATGCTGATTTTATTTAAGGAAATAAAGAGAAGTATGTACAATCTAGCCCACTTTCCACTTCAGGTTTTCGGTGGGGAGAGTTTCTGGGGAAAACGTTTGGCTAAGGTGGAAAGGAATCTCAAAGAAGGCTAAAGCCAAGACCCTGCTATAGTGGGAGAGAGAGATGGAGGATGGTGCAGATTCTCCCTGGAAACAGGGAAGGGAGAAGTCCAACCTCCAGACGGTGATGCCACTTGTGGGTCTTCAGATTGGCGAGGATCTGGATGAGTGACGGGTGGGGCCTGAGGTGCTCGCTCGCAGAGGGGAGGTGGGGGCGGGGCCTCCTGTCGCCCTGGCCTCCAGAGCTGGGGAGCGAGCTTGGCAGTGACGCGGGGCCCTCACGTGACCCGGGGCTGCAGAACGACGCAGCCTTGGGTGCAGTCGTCACTCCCGTCTGGCCACCAGCTCCGTGCTTCCCTGCGCACGGCGGGCTGGCATCGGGCCCTGGGCGAGCGGAGCAGGTAAGGGGCCTCATGCAGCTGCCTTGAGGGCGACAGCCTCCGGATGCAAGGGAGCGCACCGGAGAACCGTGCAGCAGCACCGCGCCTTTCTGCACCGCAAAGAGAATTGTCGCTGCTCCCGGGAAGGGGTGCCCCTGCTTGGGGGCGGGGATGGTGGGGGTCTCGGGGAAGGGCCAGCTAGGCCAGTTGGCCTAGGAGAGCGCTAGCTCTAGCTCTGGAGGGATGAGAAGGCGACGGGCCGGTGGAGATCGTGGGCGGCCAGGTAGGGGGATGGGCGGGGGGGCGGGGTCTCTGCTCTGAGTCGCTCCCATCCCGTCTGCAGGTCTGCTAGCCGAGAGTCGCAGCGGCGCGTCCAGCAGCGACAATTGAGAGGAGGTCTACGCGGCAAGGGATAGGCCCAGGTCGGTTCAGGGGCTGTGTGTGTGTGTCTAGGGGGGCGGCTGGAGGAGCGTTCGGGCAGCCCTGTCTGGGACCCCAATGAGGGCCCCCACCCCATCCTATTCTCCATCTTAGTCCTCCATTTTGGTGCCTGCAGAGCTTAGGGAAAGGATCCTGGGAAATAAAAAATGGTGGGCTTTGGAGGAGGGAGGGAAAAGAGAGCTGGGGGGAGGGGCTCAAAATGGAGGCTCCCTTGAGGTTGCCTGGAGACTCCAAGGTGGCAAAAATAATAAAATAATAATGAAAATTTTTGTTGTTAGTCTCGGAATATTGCTGGTCAGTGCACCAAGCATTCAGTTTCTTTCCTTGCCCTGTCTTACTTGTGTTCAAAGAATAACAACCAGAAAACAAAATCTCACCATGGCAAATATCCACCAGGAAAACGAAGAAATGGAGCAGCCCCTGCAGAATGGACAGGAAGAACGCCCTTTGGGAGGAGGTGACGGCCACCAGCCTGCTGCCAACAACCACAACCGAAGAGGACAGGCTCGCCGACTTGCCCCTAACTTTCGATGGGCCATACCCAATAGGCAGATTAATGATGGGTTGGGTGGAGATGGAGATGATATGGAAATGTTCATGGAGGAAATGAGAGAAATCAGGAGAAAACTTAGGGAGCTACAGTTGAGAAATTGTCTGCGTATTCTGATGGGGGAGCTCTCGAATCACCATGATCATCATGATGAATTCTGCCTTATGCCTTGACTTCGGCCCTTTTCCGTGAGATCATACTGTGATTCCCGATGGATTCCTTTTCCTTGCATTCTCCTTACATGCCTTTACTGATCTGTTTGTGGTGAGCCTTGTACTATTTCTATGTACCAGGTGGGTCTTGCGCTGCCAGCGTCTAACTGGAGATTGCCTTCCCACTCAGTGTAAGTTTCTGTCAACAGTACAGCGTTGCCCATTTGCATGGAAAAAATGTAAAGTAAATAAAGCATCTGAAAAGCAACCTGAATATCCATTATTGTCTCCTTAAAGCATATATAAATACTTACATATAAAACGAACCACAAAAAGTCTGCAATTCAAAAGTATTGGGGGCGGGCACGTGTATACAATTTTCCTTTTATTTGGAGTTTCATAAACTTTTTCAGTGTTTTTTATTAACTTATTGCAGCTGTATATAATTATTTGCTCAACAAACTTAAAGCGTATATCCCCTGACAAATACAACTTCTTAAAATTGTCCTTATTTCTTCTGTGAAGGAAGGGTCGATGGAGTCTTAAAAAGACTGTAGAATGGACCAGGTCAGGTGTGGGACTCTGTTGGTTTAGGGTTTTCCCTACTTGTCAGCATTCAGTAAGCCCAGACCTCGAACCCTCACTAAATAGTCGGGTGAACTGAGGGGAATCCTCAGTCCTTGCCCATTCTTCATCCTGGAAAAAAATGTGGGTTCCTCCATGTTGTTTGTTGCTATCCCACTTCTCTGGTTAAGGTAGGTAGCTTGGGCATACATCTCCTTCCGACTCCTGTTTTCTGTACCATGGAATGACAGCCAAACCTGATTTGTTTAAAGTCTGTAGTGACCTCAGTGTGACAGTGTGGGAAATGCCTTTAGAACTTGACACATTTATCCAGGTGAGTATAATCCCCATGGTTCTTGGCTCTTAAGAATATAGCCCTTTCTGGATTTATTTTTGTGCCCCCAATCAAAAGACTCTGGCAAGGGTTCACTGGAGACTAGCACAATGCCTTTCAGGGTTATGCCCAGAACCGCATAACTAAACATCCATAACACAAATAGGCTAGCAGCATAAAGGTGTTTCTACACTGGGGTGGATTTCTCTAAAGCAGCCTTTCAGCAGGCCTGCCCACCCAATTTACTAGACTTAGCAGAAACATCAGTTTCATTGGGGAACAGGCATTCTCTGGCTGCATCCTGTTTGTCCCATCCTCACCTAAAACTGCATTGTGAACTCTTAGAAACATGTAAAGTATTTTCCTTAATGATTTTTAGGTAAATGTGTATCCTCTAGACAGTAATACAGAGTAATCGGAAACAGTTGATTATTCTGATAGGCTAAGTACAGTGGAGTTAGATGCCCTGTTTGGTACTGTTCCTAATTGATTCTCCATAGCAGGAGCCTAGTAATCCCTGATCTGGAAACTTTTAAAGAAGCACCCCCAAAGAAAGTCTTTAATCCCATATGTAAAAATTATAGATATTATAATATGTTAGTGTTTATGGGAATATAATCCACCTTCCTGTACACATAAGGGAAATATTAAAACTGAATTCTTGCTACTTAGGTGCCCTTCTCAGCTTGTTGTCCACTGTTAGTGACCTCTGAATCAGAGATTACTGTTTTTAACAGTACACAGTTGATTTTTCATGTCTTAAGATTTGAAAGCATAGGTACAAAGAAATTGGTAGAAATCTCCCATTTTACAATAAATATACAATTCTAAAATTATTAAATTGAACTATACTAAATATTCAGTGTATAAGCCCTGCCCTGTATTTAATTTTTAAAATTGTTAAGTTACTGCATTACTATGAATGAATTTATGATACTAAAGCTATACTCTATAATATCTGTGTAGGTTCATTTCCTGTTCATTTATAACAATAATTTTGTCTTTACCATCCTAAAGCTCAGTGTTTGGCACAGTACCTAATATAATGTATATCAAATAGCGTGTTTTTATTAAGTTATTAAGTATTTTTAGTTATTAATCTAAAATTATATACAGCAATGCATACTTTTGTTTATGGTTGATTCATTTTTTTACACAACAGAAAGTTTTGATGAAGAACATTCAAACTTATTATCTTTTAGAAATATGCAATGAAAGGTCATTATGTATATTTAGATTGTGCCAGAAACTAAATAAGAGCATAAGCAACCGCAGTCCAGTCGTCCAGCAGTATCACTTGTAATTTCTTTTTGTCCTGCATGCAGCTACAGTGGAGTCTGATGCAGATCCTCACAGAAGAATAAACCCTCCTCTTTCTCACCTTTGAAGTTAGGTGTGATGGCACTGGCCTATAATCCTAGAATTTGGGGGTGGGAGTAGAAAGATTTTGAGTTTGAGGCTATCCTGGACTACATGAGACTACCCCTCAAATTAGTTTTCATTTAGCCAAACTTGGGAGCACTTTTTAAGGCAGCACATTTCAGAACTGTGCTTTTTGAACATAAATTATACTCGCTCCTGCTTACTAGAACAAGATAGAACTATTTACTTAAGATTAAAAATTGGCCCAGTAACAGAAAAAGATCTGCATTCTGTTAACAAGATTGTCAAAACTCCCCTGGCTGTTCTGTCTCCTTTCCTGATAATCACAGGTATTATATAATGTCATGCTGATGCTGTTTAGAAAGAGCTAACTTTTAGATTTTCAGTATTATATTTTATGCACTTTTATTATAATTGTGACCAAGGCAGACAAAGAGGACCCACCTCTCTCTGGGGCACTAGATAAGTATCAAGCACTGTTAAAAATCACCATTACTGTTAAATTAGGTCCATTTTCGGTGTAAATATGCTGGCATTGGGGAATGGATAGAGCAAATGGATTCCTAACTAGATGTTATTGGATTCTTCCTGCCCTGCCTGTCTTGAGCAAAAGGACTACAAGCCAAAAGGCCAGACAAACTCCTTTTCTGTCAGCGTCAGCCAGCTTGAACACTCCACAGAGGATTTGAGAACATTATTGCAGCTGGCTTCCCCACCTCCTGGAGGTTCAACTGGGGATGTCTGAAACTGTTTATTTCAGACCTTTCACTTTTACTAACCTTAACGAACTCTAAACAAGCGGGTAAAAGCCTGTAGGATAAGACAGGCCTGCCTAGAAGTATTCAATTAAATTGTCATCCTTAGGACTGCAGTAAGAACTGCAGAAGTAGATAAAACCAGCCAAGGAGAACAGAGAGACTGAGAGGAGATTGGACTTACAATCTTTAGAGAGAAAATATAGCTCGGTTCCTAAGACTCCAAGTTTGTAATTTATCAGAAGCAATTAGATTAAAATCTACAGCCTCTCCTCTTCCTAGTTTAAGAGAAGCAATGAGAAGAAAAAGTATAAGATGGTGGCAAAATGTTCACAGTAGGTATATGACAGAAAAAAAAAACGAACCTCAGAAAATGGTGAGAAGTGTATATACCCTGTAAGCAATCTGACGCTGTTTTTTAAATGTCACAGAAGGCAATGAATGTTCTCTAGTTAAACTAAGACATTTAAGAAAGAGATGAGTTAAGGCAATGAGAGTTCTGTTTATAAACAAGGATATTTAATAAAGAAAAACTGACAATCAACCCACTAGGAGTGTCATACTGCTTAACTTCTATCATCGCTCCGTGAAAGAATGCGGCATTCCCTTCCCCGTTGCTGTGATTAAATGCCCTGACAGCAACTTAAGAGACAAGGATTTATTTTGGGTCACAGATGAAGGGGCCAATCCTTCATGGTAGGGAAAGCATGGTGGAAGAGGCTGCGAGGTGGCAGCTGGTCACATGGAGTCTGCAGAGTGTGGTGGATGTTGTTCTGTTAGCTTCCTCACTTCTCGCGCATTCCTGTGCTCCCTCCGCCTGCCCGCCCTCCCCAGGGAATGGATTCCCCCACATTTAGTAGGAGTCTTTTCACCTCAATTAACTTAATTTAGATAAGCCCTGCCACATGTGCCCAGGGGCTAACCTAACCAAGATAATCCCTGACAGACATTTGCCTAGGCTTGTCTCTGGAGATTCTCGAGTCTGTTGAGCTGACAGTATTAACCAGCACAGAAGTAAAAATCAGAACACAGGAATGATAAGCTACTTCTCTGTCGCCATCACAGATGGCACGAAGAAAAAAATCAACTTAAATGAAGAGAGATTTATTTTGCCTCATGTTCCCCGAGGTTTCAGCCATCAGTTGGTTCTGTTTCCCTGGGCCTAAGGTGAAGCAGAAGCATCAAGAGTCAAGAATATGTGGCAAAGGCTGCTCACTTTCTGTTCAGGATTCAGGCAGAGACAGGAAAGGACCAGTCACAAGTTTTATTTTGCAAGATATGTACCAATTGATCTACTTCTTTCAACTAGGCCCTAAGTCTCACTATGACCATCACTGTGGATTCAACAAGCTGAGGCAGGGTAGAAAGTCAGGGGAAATATTGGAGACTTGAGGAGAAGGGACTCCCCCTCACCCTAGAATCCAGCCAAAGCCTCTGGCCAGCAAAGAAGCAAGAATTCCAACATACTGTTATTAACAACTCCTAAACAGCTGCTACTGGACTCTTCCTACCCTGCTTGTCTTGAACAAAAGGCCTTTCTCCCTTCGCAGCTGAAAAATCTGAATTTTCTAACAAGCTCACTAACCAGTCCACTTACAAGGACAGGTCATATACTAAATACCTTGGGCAATACTTCTGGTTTCTTTTATCGGATTCTAATTCCACCTAAGCCACCTGCATAGCCAGCCTATAATCTCACCAATCGAAGGAGGAGAAGAAAAATGATTTCTTAGCTATCCTCTGAGATGTAATCTGAGAGCTACCTTAATAGTATATATGACTAATGTTGACAATCCCTAGCTTACTCTCCCTTGAGAAGCCCATGTTGATGCTTAGATACACACTTGGTGCGCCTAATGCTCTGCAATTCTTTGAGAAGCTCAGACTCATGCTTTTAGACATGTCTTACTTTCTTCTGAGAGCCTGGCTTTCTGTCAACTGTTGTGCTTTTTAAAATTAAAATAGCTTTAATACAAATCTCCAGCACTGATTTCTAAATTGGCTAGTCCTGATGTTCTTTTTAGCAGCAAAGCCAAAAAATCCAGCCTGAGCTGAGGTTCCTAAAAGCTTAGGGGAACTCTTAGGTTGCCTAGGGTGGCAGTGTGGAGCTCCGTGTCGGTCTTCTCACTGCTGACGAAGAGATTAATCCCTTGATTAGGTCGGAGCCCTCAGAAACCTATCATTCTCCCCAAACCCATCAACTGACAGCCGAGCCTTCAGGGACAGGGTTGG